TGACAGAAGTTGTTTTACTGCCTCTTGTGATCTTCTGGCAAGATCTTTCAAACTCTCTGCATCACCCCTTACTGATTTTATGGGAGGAAAGATTTTGAGAAGACAGGCACGGATTGATTGGCGTGGGTTCCTGAACTGTTCTGTTAATGTTTCTCATGCAGGCATTAGGGATTCCGTTGTGAATGCGTATCCCCTTATAAAAGGTAGAACTGAGTCGTCGACTGCGGTAAATAGGTAGTGCAGCTTTTCCACTTCATTAATTTCTCTGTTTTTCAAAACAAGTGCCTCGAAGAGGTCACTGAATGCGTCCCAGTCTTCTTGCTTTCCACTGAATTTGGGTAATTTAATTGTTGGCAGTCGACTTACATGTGTTCTTACCGGATGTAGTGTAGGCTGTTGCTCATTGCACTCGATCTTGAATTTTTGGCGAAGCCTGCTGAGAATCCCTCGTATCATTACAAATTGGGATGCTTCGGTTGATAACATATTGGTAGGAATGCTGTCTTCAGTGTCTTGCTCAGTGGGCCAGATTATTTCTAGATATGCATTTTCTTTGATGAAGGTCTTGTGAGTTTCTTCGGCAAGTGAAAAGGCATTTGACAGTTCTTCTGCAGTGGTATCAGGGTCTGGCACTGCATACTTCTTAGCAAGACTCTGTAATATTTTTTTACGTTCGGTTTGAGCATTCAAATTTACCGTAAATTCAGATTTTGATAGAGTAGCTGTTGAGCTTCGAAGGGAGGTGGCTCTCCTTGCCTTTGACGTTCCTGCCCCCTTGGCTTCTATCCTGTGTTTACTGTCTTTTTTCTTTATTTATTTATGTAATAAATGGAATATCCCCTTGGATGTATTGCCTTCTATTCGGTTGGCAGACTTAGTATGGCAATATGGGCCTTGATTGTCCACTGTATTCCTTCAATTTATTATCTGACGATGGGATTATCCGGCTCGAAGGACCAAATGTTCGATTTTAAAGGGTTAGCTTATGGCTCGAACTACCAATTCAATAGTTCAGTGGATTAGTCTCTCGGCAGGATAATTTTAAAGGAAATCAATAACAGACAAGGCTGAAAAATATAATATATTTATTTAAAAACAAGGTTAATGATTGTAAACAATTATTATAATATTGCACTGTTGTGTTGAAATAAATAATTCTGTTGGATTATTTAAAAGATGTGTTCTTGTGATTCTTATGCTATGAAGGCTTCTATGGATATTGCTGTGTTGCTTTGAGGTTATGCTGATGTTGTCAATGTCAGCTGATGTCGTCAGTCAATCATGCTTGTGAGGCAGCATGAGAAGATGGTAGTTGAATCTAGTATGCTTGATTGATGAATAGCTATACTTGATGTGGTGTCAGATCTTAAATGGAATTTATTATGTAATCAATTATATCTTTAATTATGTAAAGGGACAGCAGTAGAATCTAGTCACAGGTAAAAACAATTAAAGGTAAGATTTCTAATTCGTGAAGGATTTAATAATCTGTATTTGTAGAGTCTATTAGTCGATCTGT